CCAAACGCATTCTAAGCCGCGCAGTATATCCTTCCCCCCCTCCACTCCCCTTCCCCCCTCCCCCCTTCCCAAGCAAAACAAAAAGTTTGGGCTTGTTAGTTTTGGTAAAAGTGGCGAATTGCATCTCACATTAACCCTGTGATGAGTTGAAAGGCGGACATTGGAACCCGTTCATATTTTGTAAGGGACGAGCGCCACTGATCAACTGTAATCATATATTTTCTCCTTCAAAGCCGTCCATTCAACCCAGCACAAACAAGGAGGTGACGAATCGCTGTTTTCAAACCGGCGCTGCTGAAGTGGCCGTGGCATCTCTGCTTCCCAACCGCAGCCGTGGTGAAACATACCAATGCTTCCTCTGAGTGTGTGTGTGTGTGTGTGTGTTTGCGTGGGGGAGAGAAACAGGGCCTAATAAAGCATAACAGATGCGTGAACAGCCTCGCGTCTGAAGGAGTGTACCTACATATACTTATTATTCATTACTCTCTGCAGCACATTATTACTTGGCAGAATCAATATCGGAAGAGCAGCAGAGAACAGAGAAAGCGCCATTAGGCATTCAGGCGGTTACGGAGCTACGAATTGCTTTTGGAGTTCAGACGTTCCGCGTGTGCGACAAAGAATGAGAGCAGGCGAGTGCGTGTCTTTGGGTGTGCTTCTGCACGAGGGCGACAGAACATGTGACAAGTCGCCGTCGCCGCCGTCTTTTTTGTTTTCGCCGCATCTGAATTCAAGCCGAGCTCTTCTGTCGCATTGCATTGTTCGGGAAATACTTACTTTTCCAGGGTCGTCTTTGGAGCGAGGCACTTTGAGGAAACACTTGTTCAAGGACAGGTTGTGTCGTATTGAGTTCTGCAGGGAGAGCGAGAGGGGGACAGACAGAAGACAAAGGAGACGGGACAAAGTGTATTAAAACAAGAAAAATACACTTTCAGTCGACTGATTCTGGTCCCAGTCTGTTAACTGCAACATCACTTCTTCTTCCCACAGAAAGAGAGATGGGGTATTGGGTCCCTTCATCGGGGGGCTCACAGAACAGTCGTTATGCTGCAGATGTGGACAGACGTTCTCATGCAAACTGAAATGCGTCGGCTCCGTCGGACACGCCCTGAACCTGCCGATTGAAACAACGTGGTTTGCCCACGTTCAACCTAAGACACGGTGAGATCACTGCGCGGGCGCCAGAGGGGCTTTGGGGGCCACGGGGTCAAATGCAGTTTGTAAAAGGGGGCAGGACTGAAGCAACACGGTTATACATAACAGATTCATAGTACAGGCCCTAACGGAGCGAAAACTGACAAGTCCACATGTTTGTAACTGTTCCTATTGTTTGTAGGTGTTGTGTACATGCGAGAAGAGGTAGAGAGGTAAAGAGAGAGAGAGCTGTAACAGCGGCGCAGGCTAACCCAACGTGAACCTGTTCTCCCTTCAGGCTCTCGTTCTCCACTCATCTGCTGCTCCTAATTAATACCACTGGGGAGGGAAGTGGAGAAGACAGAGAGATGGTCGGCGTTTTCTCTGCTCTCTCTGCTGAGCTCCCGCTGCCAGGCTCTCGTTTCTCAAACAACAACCAGCCTCTGCGTCCGTCTCCTCGGCGTACCAGAGCAGCCCGGGCCACCTCGCCCTCCCGCTCCCGGAGAAAAGCTCCAGCGGGTTTTTTCAAGCCGCACTGCCCGACGGGTCACCGGCCATCAAGGGAGGCGCGCGTGACAGTCGGCGGGTGGAGAACGGCGAGGAGGGCGGCGCGTGGAAGGCAACCATCTGCTCTTTGCGGCGGGATTGATAATGTCGATTCCAATCGTCCCTTCAGCAGTGAGCCCGTCTAACTCTGCCAGTTGGGTTTTTGGTCAAAAGTTATGGGGAATTGGATTTTGTCAATATTACCCAGAATTAATATTATCCCAAACAACTATAATTGTATTTGTTTGATTTATTTTATATTAAATATACCATCAATTAGGTTCACGATCATTTCTGCTGTGATCATTATGACCAACACGTTGATACACAGCTCAATGACACACAGAAAAAAAAGAATCCACCACATTTTCACCACTCAAAACTGTTTGTGTGTCCCTGTGAGTGTAATCGTGGAGCGGGAAGCCAGCCCTTCATCCTGCATGTTAAGGAAACAGTAATATCTCCTCACTGAATGCGAATGGACATCATCAATAAATGTACTGATTAGCCGTGCTGTGAAGTAAGATAATGAGATTCCCTGCCGTGTCCTCCTTCCTCCCGCTCCTCACCCGGCCTGATTAATGAGCGCGGCGGGTCGGGATGAGATGAGGCCTCGCAACTCCTGCCCAGTAGCTGATGGATCACACAGTCATAGGCATCATGTGTGTGTGTGTGAAATGGAAGAAGGACGTTTAGACGTCTGGTCCGACTCCACAACTCTATAATCACTCGATGTTTCCACTGCAGGAAAATATCTCTAAACTCAGTATAGTCAAAAATCCCTGTGTTTGTTGTTTTTATACACAAGCGATCTTTGTATACAAAGCCTTATGCTACAAAATATCTGATGATTACATCGGTTGGGGATCCCTCCTCCCCCAAACCTTTACAAAATATTGGATTACTGCACCCCTGTCCAAACATGTCTGAAGCTTTCTGCAAAACCAACAATCCCCACACACACACACACACACACACACACACACACACACACACACACACACACACACACACACTAATGACGTGATTGGCCAGCTGTGTGGAGGTGGGAAAGGCGGCAGGGTCAAAACTTCTCACTGTGGCTCCCTTTGTTTATTATTCACACAATTGTTCAGACCTAATAACACAAGGAGATATAAATATGAGATATATGTCGGACATTGAGAAAGTGTATAAATATACACAAGACTATAATGTTTTCTTTAAAAATCTTTTTGGAATAATATATTGGTTGTTATAAAAGAAATTGTGTATTCAAAAAGAAAATGTGCATATTGCTTTGGGTAATAATTTCATTCTCCACAGATTCGTATTGTATGGAAATATTGTAAAACATATTTCTGTAGTCTAAAGTATTCAGAAAAAAACTTCTGGATTCATAGATAGAGCAACAAATGGTGTGAGATGTGAGACATTAGGACGCAGCATATATCATATTTAGTGTTAATGCACAAGCTCTTTAGGCAGAAAAAAAGGTAAAATTACCGCTTTTGCACAATTAGATACGAGGCTTTGTGTGTGCATGTGTGGCATCCACAGACAGTATATACTGTTCCTATTTGTGCACGGCTGCTGCTGTTTAATGTACGGCGCAGCGCCCGGGCGCCGGAGAGGTTAGTTACATAAGGCTTTATAAGCATGGATGACTTTTTGACTAAATGGAATGTGATATAATGTGATGTGTGACAAAAAGGTTTGGAAACTCCAGCTTTCGGGTGGAGGGGAAAGACAGTGGAGCGCAGTGTAAGGATCTGAGTGTGTCTAGTGTGTGTGTGTGTGTGTGTGTGTGTTTGTTTGTGTGGATCAGTCAGAACCCTGATCAAAGAAAGTCCACAACGTTTGAAGCTTGACAGAAATGGCCAAAGAGGTAAAAATAGGTGTGTGTGTGTGTGTGTGTGTGTGTGAAGATGAGGTAGGGTGGAGGTTAAAAGAAGCCAGAAGAATGTTCCGGCCATAGGCAGGAAGCTTGCTGTGCGTGTGTGTGTAGATACGCCAAGGAAACAGGTCACAGGCAGAAGGCTGAAGTTATATAAGCGGGTAGGTTGGGAAGATTTGGGTCATGGCAGCAGAGATAAATACATAAGGGGCAACAGGAGATGACATTTCCTCTACGCGGAATTAAGCAGTTTTGAAGAGCTCCACAAGTGAGGCAGCGACGTTTTAAGTCTCCCACTCAACAAACAAACAATGCAGATTACACTGAAATGGCGTGTTGGTGAAGTTGGGAGCGTTGGAAACATCAGAGTAGAAAAGTGTGTTTAGTCCTTTAGGCTGTTGAGGTTTCCAGGAGCAACAGTCCCATTGTGTTGCTCTTCTGTCCATCTCTCCTCCCCACGGTTCCTCCCTCCCCTGTTCTTTGTTTCCTGATATAAGGGTGCTGGAGGATGTTGTCTGATGTATCAATTGTAACTCTCTTGAGTTACATTTGATTCTATTCATTTTCCACAGAGACGATGTGATGCGACTCATCATTGGAGCTCTCCAACTGTCCAACTGGTTGAGTCATCAGCTGACCTGAACAGGTAAAGTTGAAATTAACTTTTCATCAAAAAAAAAGTTCCAAGAATATAGATTTCAATCTTCTCCTGTGGTGTGAAGGTGGAGGTTGAAGGCATTGAGATAAACACTCCTCCAGTTGGGCGGCATTGAAGCACGAGAACAGGGCACACTTCAAAAGAACAAATACATGTTGAGAAACTTTATGAAATTATGTTTTATTTGATCCGTTAAATGATTTGAGCAGCTTTAAAGTCTAAATGTTACTCGATGAAGAGCTGATGTCCTTGTCTACTTCAAATGCATTCGGTAAGGTGCTTTCTGTTTTTATCAATTAACCAACTTTTAAACTTTCGGTGAAGAAGTTGATGTCTTGCAGGCCTGGGCCGGTTTATTTCTCATACATCTAGTATTCACTCCTTCATTCTTGCTCACTCATAATAGATTCATAATGACTCAGCTGATCTCTTCTATTCAATAGCAAAAATGAATTGTATTATATAAACATTTTAGGTTTTACCTTTGGATATTGTAAAGCCTCAGAGGCTGGAAAAAAGTAAGTTGTTTGAAAATAAATTCACTAAACGCTGGAAGTCTCTACTTTATCAGGCAGAAAGGGATGTACGTGTGTGAATCCCCGCACAACTGTGTGCCTGCAGGGAGACTCGGGTCAGAGGTCAGGATATATTACACGTACACATACAAACGCACAGTCACACAGCGGTATTCAGGAGCGTCTCATGCCCTTCAAGATGGATGTATTGTGGAAGAATACAAATAGACCATGTGCGCCCGTGGACTAAAAAAATAATAAAAATAACTATGGAGAACAGGAGGCAAAGAGAGAAAAGGAAGAGGGGATATTCTGAGAGAAAGGAAGGGAAGGAGATTTTATTAACTTTCAGCTGAACCCATACGGTGCATAAAGAGAGGGTAAAATGTGGTAAAGTTTCAGGTTAAGGCAGACGAGGAGGAGCTGGGGGGAGGGGGGGAGGAGGGGGGGGGGGTGGGGTGCAAGAGGCACAAAGAGGGAGCGCTGCAGTCGGCTGGAAGAGGGAACGTGGGGGAGCGAGCGCACGCGGACAGGTGTCTTAGATGTGAAAGTCTCCTGGGTTCTGAGCATCATTCAGATGCCTTATTATATCCTGATGGTGACGGAGTGACAGACACTCTGAGAGAATGCGGGGTTGGATACAAGTCACCGCTTCAAACTCCGTCTCATACATATTCATTCCATTTGATGGACCCTTCCCCGCCCTCTTTGCTCCCTCACTGAAGTACTTCACACAAGTCGTCTGAGACAAAGTGTGTGTGTGTGTGTGTGTGTGTGTGTGTGTGTGCTTGCAGCTGTGAGCATTTACAGTGTTAGTGTTGTTCAGTTTTTGCTTGCGCCTGAGCCTGAGCAAAGGTGTGTGTGTGTGTGTGTGTGTGCGCGCGTCTGTGCATGCACCCGTCACACTAGTAAGATCTAGTAAGAAGCGCTAAAACAATAATATACGAAAAGTTTGAGATGTTCTGTTTCCATTTTGTCCCCAAACACGGACACCTGAACCCAAAGACACCGAGTATTGATCCAATACCAGTGCGTTAAAGCTAAATGAAAGAATCTACCTCTCCTCCTGAGGATTTCCACAGGCACTTTTTGTTCACCATGTTGCAACTTCAGAGCAAAGAAA